AAAAAAAAAAAAAAAGACCAGCCTTTCTGGTCAAAAAGAGACTAGGGAAACCTGCCAACCTTCAGGTCTGGAAAGGAACTGACCCTCATGGTTCAACTTTTAGCCAAGAAGTAGATAGGTTTATAGAGGAGGGGTCAACAACACTAGTAAGGTATACTCATTATGAACAATATAACACTCAAACATTCAAAATCAAATGGGCAACATGTACCTAGGGACATGGAATGGAATGGGAAGGTGGGTGGAATGGACACAGGAGCCACAGGGAGGGAGCCGAATGATGGTTGTTCCATGGAGGGGATTTGACACAAATGATGACCTCATAATACTATTCTTTTTTTTTTTTTCATAATACTATTCTTCATCTTGCTTTTTATATTTATCTTGGAAGCTACATTTTAGTTAAAAATACCCTAAGAATGGCTGTTTATAACTCTTATGACCAGAATTCTATAAACATTAGTTATCTTTAACAGGCAACAAGGCCAATCACCAAAAAAACCAAAATTTAAACTAATCAATTTTCTTAAACATGAACATATGAAATAAACTTTGCTAACTGGAGATTTGCATAAAATGACATGATACTTAACATTACTCAAAATATTGCATTTACTCATTTAAAAGTAAGGAGTGGACTACATGGACTACACTTCAAGTCCTTAGATAAGTTGATAATAATCAACATAAAAATCCTGGTGAAAATTAAGCTATTTATTGATTATATTTCAAGGTTAAATTTATTTAACCCTTTCTTAAAATGTTCTCTGCAACCTACTTTCCTGGAACAAGCTTCTTTTCAGATTTATAAGGGTACAATTCTCAAAAAAAAAATAACTTGCTTGTAATTTCTGTTTTCTTTCTTTGAAACACTATGAGACTTACTTGAAGTTAAGTCTTCATCATCCTTTACGTATAAAAGCGAAGTATTATTTTAAAAGTAGGCATTACTAGAGCAATATAATGATTTCTGGCAAGCTAGTACTAAGAATACCACTTAAAGTCTAATTTTAAGGCTTGTACAACCTTACTTATAAAAAGGCATGTTTTAGGCTCGACAACAATATTAGCTGCAATTTTTCATTAGTATATGTCACCTATCCTGGAATACATTTATTAAATAAAAAGAATCATTGCTTCACTGCTTATCAATACAGACATTTATGACTATTTTCACACTGTACCAAAAAAATACAAAGTCATCCTTCCATTCAGTTTTGGCAGTGAGCAAATATCGAGTTCAGAGTTCATACACATGCTCTGTAAAACAGTTCATTACTTATATACTATCTACACTCAACAAATCTACTAGCATTTGTAACTGTTTAATAATTTTAAATCATTATTTCTCCCTGTCTATCTAAAAAGATATACCCTGAGTCCTGTAGATTAAGTGGTACAAAAAGCCCAGGTGCTATCAGACTCCCACACTTAGAATGTTGAATTTAAAAATCATTTTTGACATTATCAAACTACCAATTAAGGGGAAGAAACTAACAAACAATATACTCAACAATGGCATGTGGCATCTAGAAGAAGCAGTATTACTTTTCATTCTTCCTTTGTCAAATATGAGTGGGAAAAACCACCTGGTATTCTTGTTGATTTGGTTATGAAAACCTACTGATACTGGCATAGTTTGGGGTCAAGTGACCATAGCGTTTTCAATCTCTTACGTAAATAATTGTGAGAAGCAATAAAGTATCTTAAAAACACAAACAAAAAAAAACAAACCCCATATAATTCAATATTTTTTAATCATTTGAGAGCATTATCTGGAGAAACCTCCTCCTAGCCTTAATAAAGAGATACCAAGACATATTAATCTGGTGAAACCCCAAGGGTTTTCTTGTTTTGTTTCTGGTTTTTGAACTCTCAGGCTTTGAACAGGGCTGTTTTTCACAAGTAGGCTCCAGGTAACTACGAGGCACATCATAATGAAGTTTTATGGTCCCACACAGTCAACAGAGGCATTGTCTTAAAAGGAGGCTCTGTAACTCGGCAATAGTATTTTGAAATGTGCTGCTCAGACACCCTACGATTTGTTGCTGCCTAAAACTATGCAAAAGCCTTTAAGACACCAAACAACTTGCATTGACCTCATCCGACGCCTTGAGATGTCAACGGCCCAGAAACTGTGGGTACGTGGTAATGCGATCGTGGGCTAATTGGGAATTCATTTCCTAGGTCAGGGGGAAATTCCTTATCCTCCTCCCCCACCATCATGTCTCCCTCCTCTCCCAACACCCAAGTGAGAAGGAGAAATTCGCCATGTCTTCTTGCCCCCATCAGCACCTAGGCGCCCTCCCTGAGCGCCTCTTCCCCGCGGACAGGGCGGGGGAGGCCTGACAAGCGCTAAGCCCGAAGGCAGCCCGGGCAAGTGGGGGCCTTCGAGCAGCAGCACGGCTCGCGCCGGCTCCGGTTACCTCCTTCCCCCTTCCCCCATGCCACTTCCCGGGTTTTCTCCAGCTCGGCCTGCACCCTCTCCGGCCACAGCCACACTGCCAGCTGCAGCGACCGCCTCCGGGGGGTCTCGCTCGGGATCAGACCCCGCCAGGAAGCGTACCTTCTCTTCACCAAGCTGCTCCCCAAAACGTGCTCCTCCCTAGCCCTCCCGCCGGCAAGCCCGTCCATCCCAGGGCCCAGGGAGGGGAGAAACAGGCGGCGGGGGGGAGGAAGAGGAGGATACTGCTTCCCCCCAGGCAGGAGGGCGGCCGCGGGGCGGGCCACCCAGGGGTTACCGGGAACCTCGGGGTCGCCGCTGGAAGGGCCCTCCCACCCTAGGCTGTGGTGGGGGATGGCCGGGAGTTCATTTCTGACCTCCTCGCTCTTCAGCACTTCCTTGAACTCCCGCTTGATTCGCTGCACCGCGATGTTGGCCATGTCTCCGCCCGCAGCTGATTCGTACCCGCCTCCTCCGCCACCGCTACGACCAACGCCACCGCCGCCACCTCTTCCTCCACTGCCTCCTCCTTCGGCGATTCAGACCCGAGCACACGAATGCTGCCACTGCCACCTCGTCCGCCGCGCTCTCCTCAGTGTGGAATCACCTCCGCGCCCGGCCACCAAAATGGCGGCGGGTCCGCGCATGCGCACGATGTTGACCCGGCCGGGCGGCGCAGCCGCTCCCGTTGTAGCCCCCGATATGCCTCTGCCGTGATGCCGTGCCGCGCCGCGCCGCGCTGCGCCTCGCGTCTCTCCGCCGGAGCTGCGGCCGCGTGACTCCGCCCCGCCGGCGTCTGGGGCCGGGAGGGTGCGGTTTCCGCGCTGGGCAGACCATACCCGGCCTCTTGGGTCCTCTCCTGCGCTTCCGCCAAGCTTCGAACGAACATGTTGTCATGACTTGCAGTCCATGGCCTTTGGCCGAAGGCTCGAACCCAACCCAGATGGGCCCACAGGGCTCTGCTCAACCAGGACCCCCACCCTGACTCATCCTGCCCCAGACCGAAGCCCCTAGCCCACAACTCCAGGATAATATGAAAACACTATTCTAGAATTCAGTCCGGCTCAGGTTCAGTTGGTGGTGTTGGTTGTGGTTGAGTCGGTTCCGACTCATAGCTACACCTGTGAACAACAGAACGAAACATTGCCGGGTCCTGCGCCATCCTCACAATTGTTGCTACGTTCGAGCCCATTGTTGCTGCCATTGTGTCAATCCATCTTGTTGGGCCTCCCTCTTTTTCCGCTGACCCTCCACTTTTCCAGAGATTGGTTCCTCCTGATATGTCCAAAGTATGAGAGACAAATCTCTCCATCCTGGCTGTTATTTCTTGTGGGACAGATTTGTTTGTTCTTGTGGCAGTCCATTGAACTTTCAGTATTTTTTGCCAACACCATAATTCTTCTGCGGTCTTTCTTATTCGTTGTTCACATGCATATGAGGCGATTGAAAATACCATGGCTTGGGTTTGGCACACTTTTGTTCCCAGAAAATCCAGTGCAATCCGCTTTGTTCTAAAATCAGGGACTCCATAAAATGCCAGTGATACTGCGAGTTAATGCGCTGGAGAGCAAAATCGGTTTGACTGCAAATCGGCAGTTCAAGCTCACCAACCGCTCCTTGGAAACCGTATACAGGGTTGATTAGAGTCGGAACCGACTTGACTGCACTTAACGACAGTAAAGTGTCACCTGGTGTGGTGGTGTAGGTTAATGCGATGGACTGCAAACTCATTTAGAACAGCAAGATCGACATTCAAGCTCACCAGCGGTTCCTTGGAAACCGTATAGGGTGGCTAGGTGTCAGAATTCACTCGAAGTCACTTAACAACAAACAAAAAATCAGTACTAGAAGTCATTGTTTTAAGTTTGGTGCTTGTTGAGTCCCGTTTAAGTATATTGGAGGTGGATGCTCCATGCAGAGGCCTGAGGTGAGCTTGAAAGTCAGATGCTGATTTTTAATTTTTATTTTTGCTGTTGTTCTGAATATACACAGGAGAACACACACCAACAAATACTGATCTCTTAGATAATTAATATCGAACTATCTGTGGCTCTAAAAAGATGATTTTCAAACTTGAACGTGAATAAGAATTCCTTGGAGAGCTTGTTAAAACACAGATTGCTGGCCCCCATCCCTGGAGTATAGGGTGAGTCTAATAATTTACATTTCTAAAAAATTCCCAAATGATGCTGACTGAGGTTGCTGATTCAGGGACCAGGCTATGAAAACAACAGAAGTAAGGCATGTGAAAGTGGAAAGTGGAGAAATAGAACCTCTGTGATGGACTGAGAGAGGACTTTACTTCGTAAACCTGAGCTCTGCAACGGATCTGATGTAATTTGTTAAGTGCTGTGGAGTTAGTTCTAACTCATAGCGACCCTATATAGTGGAGTTAACCTCCGAGCTTGTGATTGGGCAATCCAGTCCTTAGCACTCAATAAATATTGAATGAGTGAATAAAGTTAACAGCAAAACGTTTTTAAGTGGGAAGGAAGTTTGAGTGGCAATTAAAAAGTGATTACTAGGACTTACTACTTGGAGCCCTGGTGTGGCACTGGAGGATAAAGCGCTGGATGGCAAGGTCTGTTTGCACCGCGTTAACCCATAGCTAGGCATTATGGAGTCCTGGTGTGGCCTGGGTTAATGTGCTAGACTGTAAAGTCAGTTTGAACCGCAAAGTCAGCGGTTCAAGTTCACCAGCTGCTCCTAGGAAACCCTCTACAGGGTGGCTCTGGGTCAGAACCAACTTGACGGCACTTAACAACAATAGACATTATTTAGAAGTTTATACTTCATGCATTTCCTTCATCTAATCAATTAGGAAAGTATCCTATTATCAAAATACCTCAAATATATGATCTTTGCAAAAGTTATTTAAAATATGGTAGCAGAACAGGAATTTGCTGCTAGGGTTAAATCATTTAGTTGAGGCAGACAGACGGGAATTCTTTGAACTCCTGACCCAGGAACCAAGAAGAAGCTGTTTGTTTGTTTTTTTTATCCCAACTCTCCTCATGTCCAGTTATAAAATTTTAGTTGACTTGGCTTTTTTCAAATTCAAAACAAGGAAGCTGAATTGAATTATCACTTTCAAGCTTTAAGAGTTCAGAACTTTAAAGTATCATCCCCAAACATCATTTTCCTAAATGAGCATATATAAATTATAAAAAAGCCTTCTAGCAGAGCCCCCTAGTGGGCCTAGGAAAAAACAAATATATGAGAATGTAGGTCACACAATACAATAATAATCTAAATCCTGCAACACTCTGTGTATTTGTGCCAGAACTAAAATAAAGCAAAACAAATAATATCTATTTGAAGTGTGCAAAAAATGTGAATATTTTACTTTTTTTTTTGTTTGTTTAAGTATACATACCTGCTTTTTAATCCTTTTAATCCTCATTCACTTGCCAGTCTTAGTTTTGGAATATCATAGAAACTTGCCATACTCAAATCACAGGGAAACCAGTTAGAAGGGTCTAGTAATTTCCTTGGGGAAAGGGCTTAGTAAATTTTAAATGTAATCATTGACTCTGTAGTGCCACTTCTAGGAATTCATTTTACAGTCATTCCAGAGTCAGCTGCATATTAACTAATACGAGACAATCTTCAAGATACATCATAAGTGATTAAAAAGAACCATGCCAAATGTAATGAGATATCTTGCATTGGAACCTAGAACAAAAATCTATTAATGGAAAAACTGGTGGAATCAGAACAAAATCTGTAATTTAGTAATAGTATTTATTGTTCCCATTCACCACATGTCTGTCAGTTTGTCATACTGTGGTGGTTTGTGAGTTGCTGTGATTCTGGAAGCTATGCTATCGGTATTTTAAATACCAGCAGGGTCACCCATGGTGGACAGGTTTCAGATGAGCTTTCAGATGAAGACAGACTAGGAAGAAGGACTAACTACTTCCAAATATTTAGTCACTGAAAACCTTATAAATAGCAGAGAAATACTGTCAGATATAGTGCCAGAAAACGAGCCCCTCAGGTTGGAAGGCACTCAAAATGCGACTGGGGAAGAGCTGCCTCCTCAAAGTAGAGTTGACTTTGATGACTGGAATGGAATAAAGCCCTTGGGACCTTCATTTGCTGATGGGGCACAACTCAAAATGAAGAGAAAGAGCTGTTGTTGTTGTTAAGTGCTATTGAGTCTATTAATAATTGAAACATGGAATGTACGAAGTATGAATCTGGGAAAATTGGAAATTGTCAAAAATGAAATGGAACACATAAACATCGATATCTTAGGCATTAGTGAGCTGAAATCAACTGGTATTGGCCATTTT